GTAGTTTGACATATTTTTACTCTAAATCAATATATACAAAACCGCTACTCTATTCTCATGTACCTGAGCAGAACAAAGAAAAAAACGAGTGAGAGACAAAGAGAGATTGGGAGGATTCCGCAAACACACGCCAAACCATTGGGTTGCGGACTTGTAGCGCCGGCCCAGCGGGTCATCGAGGGCGTTTACAAATCGTCAAACACAAAGTACACATCGACTGGGAAGCAAAATGCTTGGAGCCCGGGTAAATTTTGAGCTCATAAGCTCAGGAGCCAATGTATCCCGTAGCATTGGACGATTGTAAAGTTAGCTCTACAAGGACTTGAACGTAAGTGGCGTACTTGGGATCGAATGGTTCTTGGCTCCACAAGTTTCGATATGCTAACAGGTGCTCCGGCATGACCATAGAGTTCTCGTTCACAAGGCCGAAGGTTACGGCATCCAGTATGACAGCCACGAACAAATTCATGAATATGTGACTCCCGACCAAGACCTAGAAGGCAAAGAAGATAATGTCACCCCCTCTGGATAGCCACAATCATCGCCGAGTAGTGTTTTACCGTTAGTGCAGGCGGGTGCATCAATTGTGGTATCCATCATAAGGCAAGACCAGTTATCAAGAGTTGTAACCTGTAAAAGAAAAGCGAAACTGAAAGTGATAGAAAAACAAGCCTCAGTGCTCCGAAATTTCCTGCAATCCAGGAGCAAGATCTGCAAGAGAGGTACTGCCAGGAGTTTCTGCGCTGCCTTGGTACAAGCTCGTATAGCTTGGACGTAATGCACCGCTTAAAGCCTCCCGCTCCAAGCGACATGATCGATTTTCTGGCAGAGAGAACAGCGACGGAGGGCCAATCCACGTCGGGAGAAGCGGTCCCCGGTTCCCACTCGATGATCTTTGGAGGCGGCGGCGCTTCCGCAAGATCATCGCGCATGAAATCCTCGTCGCCGTCAGTCTGTGCCTCCTGTGGCTGGCTCACCCTGGAGAAGAGCTCTTCTTTGTTGTCGGCGCTGTACCGCCCATAGAGCCGAGAGGTCTCATCTCGCTCTGGCATCACCGCATACAAACATCGTTCCAATGCTGCGTAGAACAAACGGATCGAGCGCACGCCTTGGTGCAAGCATCCAAATCCGAGACCCCATACACAGTGACGCACAAATTGGGCGTCACATCATTTTCACTCGCTTCATCATCGGATCTGACACGCACACGCGCTTGCAAGCGAATCTATCCTGGGAATCCAAATCCTGCTGCTGCTGCTCGCTCCCATCGAGCGATGATCGCCAGCGCCGCCATCTCTCCGCAATGCCAATCTCCATTGTTAAAGCTAGAAAGGGGAAAAAGTGAGTGAGGTGGGCATCTTTCTGTCCAACCAATGTAAATCATGCTCGCCACTCTCTTCCCTTGCATCACTAGCACTTGAGGTCTATGACACAGCGCCACTCTTGCCGCTCTTCCCGCGCCGCCACAGCCGGATCATCGTGGCCGAGCCTGTGATTCCCAGTAACCCTAGCACACGAGCCACTCGTAGATTAGAAGGATTGTATCGATATACAAGGAAAGAAAGAATATCCACTTGGAGCCAGAGGGTACGGCCTCGATTGTGCCAAACCCGAGAAAGGAGAAGAGCCTCACGTCACATCGCTAGACAACGCTCTTAAAGAATTTTATCCACACTGGAGCACGGCGTCAATGGGAGTCGAACCGCGACTGTTGCTAGTAGCTGTCAGGATTCGAACCCCGGATGCTCTCCACGTGCGGTAGGGTTGAAGGATTGTAAACCCGTTTGGATGGGGGGATTGTCGACTGTGGTGTGCCGCGCGGTCATCATCGGCAATGGCGCCGCTGGAGCTGAGCATCAATCCATTGGTTTGGTCCGGGCGCTCGGCCTTGCCAGCAGCTACACCATCTATAAGAGTTCTTTTGCTCGCTGCGCGCTGCGTCTTGTTCGCTGGCATCACATCCAAGGGTATTGTGGATTTTTCGGAGCTGCTAGTCTCGATCCGGTTCGTGGCGCGCCACAAATTTCGCACAGCCGATGCATGACGACGGTGTAGCGGCATCGGGTGTCGATGACCACTATTCCAGGTCTCGCGTTTTCATGTGTGCAAGAGGATTGGACAGAATTGATGAGGAGATAGATCGCTCGCCGGTATGCTCAGCAGGCGCTATGATCCACCGTTACCAGTAAAACATCCTACTGGAACACCGCCAACGCGCAGATCAACAAGGTTATGTATTCTCCTCTACAGGAAGAATGTGCTTCCACCGCTTTGAGTAAGACCAGGATCGGCGCATCGGTGTGGATTTCGTTGGAGCGAATGCGAACAGTGAAGCCGGTGCATGGAATCTGACCATGTTTGCTCTCGGGCTTTTTGATACTCTGAAGATCGTGCCAGTAGTATCGAACAAGGTACCGCATTCTCGTCCAGGATCTTGCGAATGGTCATCTTTCGTTCCTTTTGCCGCTTTTTCTTCACAGGTGTTAAGAATGGAACCTAGAGTTCGTGGTGTTTCGTAGATGACGGATTACGGCAACGCGAGGTGGATCGAGAAATGAGGATCGATCGGAAGAACACGCTCGTGAGTAGAGTTGGAACGAAGAAGGCCAAGAACGCGGTAAGTTTTCTATTATTTCTATTGTTTCTTCGTTTTTTTCTTACAACTTTTTCTCCAGCTGCAAAGAATGTCGACAGCTGATTGATCTGGGGACGCGCATTTTGATTCTGGAGGCCATGGAAGGCGAGGACACGACTTGCCGATCGCTGCTGCGGGAGCTCCAGGTAAGCCTCGGCTCCTCGCGAATTATTGCCTCTGGAGTTTCTCACGATCGCGGTGGATCGGCCGCGCGTAGAGCATCTGGGAGGAGATGGGGCAGAGCGACGAGGAGAGGGACAGAATGCTGCTCCAGCTGGAGCAAGAATGCCTGGATGTGTACCGGCGGAAGGTGGATCAAGCGAATTCCGTGAGGGCTGGGCTGCACCAGCTGCTGGCGGATTCCGAGTCGGAGCTCGCGTCGCTCCTGTTGCTCCTGGGTGATCGCCCTTGCACGGTATGCTTTGTTTGATCCATCTCACAGTGCTTTTCCAATGCCCGTTGTTCTTCCTTTCAGTTAGAGAAGAGGTCGGGCACTACTCTGCGGGAGCAGCTCTTGTCCGTCTCACCTCAGTTAGAATGCTTGCGTCTGAGGAAAGAGGAGCGGCTGAAGCAATTTGAGGACGTCCAATGCCAGATACAAAGGCTCTCTCTGGAGATATCGCCGGGGACATTGCAAGAGACCGAGAATGGAGCTTTTTGTTGGAAAGATTTGTTGCTGAGAAAGCTGTATGAGACTATGAGTACCATTGCCAGCTTCAAGAGCTTCAGGATAAAAAGGTTGGTTTGTATTGGCACGGTTGGCATTCTTTTTTCTTACAAGTGACATTTCCAGCGTACCCAGCTCCACAAATTCTCAGAGCTTCTCGAGGTTCTGCAGGGATATTGCGTCCTGTTGGGGACAGACTACACCGAGGCTGTCAAGGAAGTGCATCCGAGCCTTTGTGATCCAGGCCAGAGCAGAAGTATTAGCGATGAGACGCTAGAGAAATTAGGCAAGACGATCGGGAGTCAGGTATAAATTTATTCTGTTCACATTTCTTGCCTGATGTTTGTTGTGCACAGGAATAGTGGACTTGTCAGAACTACTTGCTACAATCGAAAGTAGTATCGCCGAGGAGAAGGAAGAATCACTCGGCAGACAAGATATAATGGAATGAATGGAACGGTGGATTAGAGCGTGTGAAGAAGAAAGCTGGCTTGAAGAATACAATAAGGTATGAGCGTTATGCTATTTCACTTATTCATTTTCGATTGTAGGATGAAAGCCGCTTCAATGCAACCAGAGGAGCACATTTGAGTCTAAAACGTGCAGAAAGAGCTCGTGTCATCGTGGCCAAACTCCCCAGTGCGTTTGAATTCTTCGTTTGCTATTTCCTTTTCTCAGTTTTCACAACCCGTTTGCAGATCTTCTTGAATCATTGAAGTCCAAAACGCGGTCTTGGGGGACGAAAGAGGCAGGCCCTTCTTATATAACGGGGTACGTAAGTGATTTTCCTAGACGCTTCTGAAAGTTCTTTGCAGATTTCTCTACTGGCAATTCTAGAAGAATATAGCTTGCTACGACGAGAGAAAGAAGAAGAAAAGCGCCGACTGAGGGTAACTCTGCAGTTTAGTGCCTGTTAAGGCGTTAACTGGCTAAATGCAGGAGGAGAAGAGAATGCAGGAGCAACTGCAAACTGAGCAGGAGCTGCTCTACGGCACAAAGGCGTCCAAAAAGGGACAGGTGGGACTTCGCGTGAGTGGAAACAATGCAAACCGACGACTTTCGATAGTCCCTGAGCTCTTACCCGCACCTAAGGCTAGCAATCAGGGTCCTCAAAAGGGTAGCCGGGTGAAACGCTACTCTCCGATGATGAATTACGTTGCCTTGCCTAAGGATCCCGAAGGTACTTCAATTGGATCAGCTCCGGATTCTCCTGTTGCAGCATGAAGGTCAGGTTTTTGTTAGAATGGACCCTTGCGTGATGTTTTCTCTGTGGTGGCCACAGCGATTTTGAAAATTAGGACGATAAGCGGGGTTTATACTGTAAGTAGAGTTTGTTTCTTTGCTATCAGTATCCTTTCTCCAGTGCTCCGTGTTTTGTGTATTGGGAAAGCGTAGGAGCGTGTGCTATTTGTTCAAAGCTTTGATTGGTGTAAAGCATTGAACTAATTGTTTCGTGTTAAGTTTCATTCAAGGTACATACAAGTCTTGGTTTGCTTACACTTGGAACTTTAAATTCTTCGCGCAGCTTCTGCTGTCGAGAATTGACGCAGACAAGTTTCACACAGGTTATGCTCTCAAATGATTGAAAGACTCGCAGGCTTGACATGCTATGTACAAGAGAGCCGAAACAACGCTTTTAAACGGACTCCATTCCTTGGCAGCGGGCAAGGACCAAAGCATGGCCGGGGCCGGGGCTAGCTTACTTCTTGTCCTTCTCGAGAATTCTCAGGTAAGCACATCTTTCGAGCTCGCAGCTCTCTTCACTAACAGCTTCTCTGCAGGGATGCTTCACCAAAAGCGGCTACAACATCTTCCCTGTTGCAGGCTGCAAGAAAGACACCGGGCCACCTTTCAAAGACGGCTGCGGCCTCGCATTCTCCTTGAACGTGACCGACACTCCGGATTCACACTCGCAGCCCGTTGGAAAGTGCCGGGGAGTGGAGTTCTTCGTGGACAACGGCACCATCGCGCACCTGTCTGGGCATGTCACCTCGGATGATCTCCAGTGCACGGTGAGCTTCCAGGACGGACCGGGGGCATAGAGACTATGCGGCCTTGTTTAGAGCCTCTGGAAGTGTCCAGGAGAAGGACATTTGCTCCAGCGCGTCCCTGGAGACCACGTAAGAAGTTTTGGCCTTATATCGGTGCCATTTTAGCTGAAGCGGACACGATTTTTCGATCATGGAGTGTGTGAGCGGCTTGGTGAGCCAGCTGTGTGGCTTGGGTCTGGACGCTGCCAAGAAGGTTTGGGACTGCAATGCCAACATTGAAAGGCTGGAGAATATGGCGCCCAACATCCAGGCCAAGGTCAACGCTTTCAGTGAGCACAAGCAGCAGAATCCAGGCTTTATGTTTTCTGAAGCGGCCGAGGAATGCTTGGAGCGTGTCAGGACATGGAATAGCAAGGCGCAAGGACTCTTGGGATCACGCAACAACAGGATCTGGAACCCCGTTAGACGGTATGTTTTGGAGCATTTTTGTGCAAGAAGGCTGAATTTATTTCTTCATATAGGTACAAGCGGAGTGGCAAGATCATGGAGTGCATAAGCCCCTACCAGGATCTCCTGTCGCAGATCGAAAGTCACGGGCACGAGCTGAATGTGGACATTGCGATGCTGGAAAAGGGGGGGGCCAGCATCCAGGCCTTGCTTAACAAGTTTCATACTCACAAGCACCGGAATCCAGAGTTCCGCTATTCTGATGGAGCCGAGGAGTGTCTTGATCATGTCACAAAATGGAACGACAAGGCGCAAGCACTGCTGGGATCACAGTAAGCTTACACAAGAGCTCTAACAGTAAAGCTAAAATATCTGTGGATCTTTCACAGGGAGAAGCGTTATGGCGAGATCTCGAAGCTGATACACAGCTACGAGGGCGATCTCGTTCCGAAAATGGAAAGGTACGAGCGAGAAGAGTTGAGAGTGATACAGCCGAGCACTAGCTTCGCCGTACGGAGTTCCCCGCAAGACAGAGGCCCTGCAAAAAAATATGTACGGCGTGGTGTTCCTGATGCCATGTTTGGTGGCCATGAGCAACTGCTCGATGAGGTGGTGAATGCCCTCTTGGATCCTGAAGCCCGTAGCAAATGGGTTGGACTCTTGGGAATGGGAGGGTGTGGAAAGACCACCCTCGCAAGCTGCGCGCACAATGACGAGAGGGTGCGGGAGCATTTCCATGACAACATTGTGTGGATCACTGTGAAGAAAGATGCTTCGGAGGACGATCTCAAGGCCCAGCTCCTCAACGCTCTTGAATGGGGTGAAATGAAAGAGAGGGCCAAAGGAAGCCTTGACGACATGCAGCACTTGGCACGCGATCTTGCTGGTGGTAACCGTGTCTTGCTGGTACTGGATGATGTCTGGGACTGGAGCTGGGCAAAGGAACTGGATTTTATAGCAGGGCCATGCTCTGGCCGGATCCTGGTAACAACCAGAAAGGAAGGCATTTTGCGCAGTCTGGATGCAAAGGCATTTCCTGTGCATGAGCTATCAATGGATGAAAGCAAAAAGATGTTTTGGAAGTTTGCCTTCGGTGTGCATGATCCACAACCCAGTGACCCTGATGTTGTGGGATTTGCGGAGAAAATAGCTCGAAAATGTGAGGGACTTCCTCTCGCTCTGGAAGTGATTGGCAGTGCCATGGCTGTCCACAGAAGTGAAGGGCCACATGTGTGGGAAGAACGATATAAGAGGTTGCACTTGTCCAATGACCTAGATGTTGAGAAGCAGATGTTCAAGCGCTTGAAGTTCAGCTATGACGAGCTGGGAAAGTATGAGGGTGAAAAGCTGCAAGAGTGCTTTCTTTATGTGGCCGCATTCCCAGAAGACGAGGAGATTGAGTTTACTGAGTTGAGGAAATGTTGGATGGAGGTTGGGTCAGAACTCTCACCCACAGCGATTGTCAATGAACTGGAACGGAGATGCCTGGTCAAGATATATAAGTCTTGGAGGGATGAAGAAGCTCCTGGTTATATAATCGTACACGATATGCTACGCAAACTGTGCATAAGAATCTTAAAAGGGAAGTACAGTCCACAGCAAGAGCACGAGAAGGGATGCCTGTTTGGATATGACTGGACAATTGGCATTCGGGATGCAACATTTGCTAAAGTCTCATTCTTCTCAAAGAATGTTGGCAGCTTTCTATCCGATAATCATGTGCGAGATGTCTTACTTCTGGATAAATGTAAAGGACTTTCTAATGTGGATGACAATCTTATCGATCATATACAAGGTGTCAAGGTATTGAGCTTGCGGAAATGCTCTAAGATCCATTTTATTCCAGAGAGCATTTCCAAGCTGAAAAACCTTCAAGTGCTTGACATTCGAGGAACAAAAGCGAGTCAACTACCAGATGCGCTTTTCAGCCTGACATCACTGAAATATCTAAAATCTACTCAGTGGACGCCAATAAAGTGTAACATTGCATTACTGCCCCAGCTCTCCAACTTGGAAGAGCTGGAGCTGAGGCTTGATTCAAAAGAGGAGTCATCAGTTGTGGATTTGACTGGAATTTCACGTAAACTAAGACTTCTAGATCTAAGAATGACACATGGTACAATGAAGGTGCCAGAAAGCATGGGGACACTGGAGCACATTGAAACATTGGTTTTACATGCAAACAACATTGACTTTGCCAGTTTCGTTGGGTTATGGCAACTTGTCAACCTAAAAACATGTGAAATTCACATGGAATCTGTCAGTAGACTTCCGTTGAAGCGAATGTTTAAGAAATCAATCAGGCTTAAAGATTTTTCCATTTCTGGGGTAGAAGACAGTGAAAATAATGATGACAGCTTTGAATGGCTGCAACTACGATATTTACGCATCCGTGAAATTATAAACCTATCTTGGTTGCCCCACCGCCTAGAAAAACTTGAAATTGACTGCAGTCGTATCCACTTCTTCAACCTGGTCCATGGACCATTCCCAGGTGTTGAATTTCTGATACTTACTAATCTACACATTGCACAGTCAGAATTCAAGGATGATTTTGCTGCCAGTTTTCCAAATCTGAAGGAGTTGGAGTTTGAGCTAGCTCCTGATATTGAATGGGAGCACTTGCCTCTCTTTGTGGCACAGCTCCCCAATCGCCTCGGGGTTCTGAGAATAACGGGTTGCATAAAGAGACTGTTGTTGCCAACCGAGAGGTCATCACTCAAGGTTCAATTTCTTTCAGTATGGTGCAGGAAGATGCAAAATGATTTCTTTGAGCCATCAGATCAAATGACTGATATAGAAGCTGTGCACTTGATCAGTGATGATGAGACTATCGTTCCATCGTCCATTGCATCACTGCCATGTTTGAAACGTCTTAACATTTCGGGGCGAAGCGTGATACTTAACGATGCACTGTGGTCCCACAATCACAGCCAGGGCGCATTTCCCAGGCTGAAAAGGCTAGACTGCCCGGAAGGCATGAAAATTCCACCTTGGCTTGAGGACCGCCCCAATCTCAAGATACGTAAGTTTTTATTTCCAAAGCGTTTTGGTATTCGAACGTCCCACCTCTACATAGTTTGACATATTTTCCTCTAAATTAATATACAAAAATGCGACCGCAGCACTGCTCTTCCACCAGGAGAGCTTCGCCTCTCACGTCCCTGGCAATCTCTAGCACCTCGGGTTTGCTCCTTGTCAATTCCAATTCTTGTTCAGCTGCTACCTCGGTTTTGCGCACAACAGCACCACCTTTGCCGGCTCTTATCCTCCCCAGGAATCCTCTCACGAGAGCCTACATTTTCGTTGCAGCGCCCTGGATGTACGGCCTGGATCCGCTTAACGTTAGTATCAAAAGCTTGGAATAGCAGCTACTTACAGTTGGTCCAATCTTATACAGCGTCAGCGTTTCCAGCGGCTTCTTGAAAGGGATTCCTTTGTTTGGAACTCGAAAACTCATCACCTCGTACTCTATTCTCATGTACCTGAACAGAACAAAGAAAAAATTGAGAGAGAGACAAAGAGAGATTGAGAGGAACACGCCAAACCATTGGGTCTTGTATTTGTAGTGCCGGCCCAACGGATCCCCGAACGACGCAATGCAATGCAGAGGTCGATTGCGGAATTGGAAGCAAGGGCGTTTACAAATCGATGCAGCTTGTGCATGCCAATGTATCCCATACCACTGGACGATTGTAAAGTTAGTTCCACAAGGACTTGAACGTAATTAAGTGGCTTACTTGGGATAGAATGGTTCTTGGCTCCACAAGTTTCGATATGCTAATAGGTGCTCCGGCATGACCATAGAGTTCTCGTTCACAAGGCCGAAGGTTACAGCATCCAGTATGACAGCCACACAGAAGTTCATGAATATGTGACTCCCGACCAAGACCAAGAAGGCGAAGAAGATATTTCGGCCCTCTGGATAGCCACAATCATTGCCAAGTAGTGTTTTACCGTTGGTGCAGGCGGGTGCATCAATTGTGGTATCCATCATAACACAAGACCAGTTAGCAAGAGTTGTAACCTGTAAAAGAAAAGCGAAACTGAAAGTGATAAAAAAGCAAGGCTTTACCTGAAACACCGCGATGAAAGCGTTGACGAAAGTGCGAAAGTTGACAGACGGGCCAATGCAGGGTCCTTCCTTCATTGCACTGAAGAGTTGGAACGCCATCCCCGCGAACATATACATGAAAATTGCGAGAAGAGCAAGTATCTCAGCTACAGTTGGCAAACAGATGAACATTGTTCGCATAATAACCTGCGCTCTCGCTACGTGAGGAATGATGCAGAAAACTCGAGCAATGTAGGCAGTGCGGCCGACATAGCACCGTTCCCTTCTTTCCCATGAGACCAATGGCGGCCATTATAGAGAGTCCGAACTCCATCTGCCGTGCAACCTCGTTCTTATAGACCTTCCACTGGCGGGCAAGCGGGATGGAGCTGGCGCTAGCAGCAGCGTCGGCGGCGGCGGAGGGGGCTACGATTTCACGGTCAGGGGATCAGTTGCCGCCTTGGAGAAAGGAAAAACCAGGTGGTCAAACAAAAAACAATCGAGAAAAAGATGAATGAGGTACCTCGTTGCCAAGGAACTTCATCACGGATTCGAGCAGGAAATATGTTGTAATCGCACAGTGAGCCATCTGACGCCGGTCCGAAACAACTGCCGACTGGCCAGCATAGTTAGTTGCAAGTAGCCTGGAGTAGCCAAGGAGTGCGAGGATCATGCACTTTTGATATGTCAGATTGCGAATCAAGTAGAAGCACATCCCTCGGATGGGATTGCTTGGTGGTTGAGCCATCGGAATAGCATCAGTTTTCTGGATGATACGGTTCATGTCCCTCCACAGCTTCTGCCTCTCTGTGAGAAGAACTGCTCCAGAATTTTTTCCAAACTCGTTGATAAACACACCGATGAAAACTCTGACGATATAAATCCCCCAATACAGCAGAATGCCACGAAAAACAAGGCGTTGACAGGGACTCGCGTTCCGAACAGGCTGGTGGTCTTCCCTAGTGATGTACATGACAGGATACATGAAGTGCGTCAGCCAGTTGTCGAAAGTGAAGCAGACGAACATACGGAGGAGGGCATTCTGGATGTCGTCCAAGTGGAAAACGTTATTAACCCATGTCATTAACATAGAGGCCGGTACAATATGCTCGGTGTGTGATTGTCGGGTCATTGCATTTCCAGAGAAGGCCCCGAAACTGCTGCAGCCCGATGGTTCCAAATATCAGGAGAATTAAAAATGTGAAGAGAATAACCGACACAATTGCTGGAATAGTCCGAAAAAGATTTGATAATAATGACCTCAGTCCTGTAAACCGAACCACGAAACGAAATGACCGAAGAGAAGTAAACACGGTTGGTATGGGAGTTTCATCCTCAGCGTTATACTTCAGAAGAATAAGCGCATCAGTGACGAGAATAAACAAGTCCAAGATGTTGAACCAGTCACTCAGGTATGCGTGTGGCGCAAAAATAAGTCCCTGTGCAACGATCTTCATCAAACAGTCTAGCAAAAAGACCTGCTCCAAAACAATGTACAATGTCAGGCAAAATAAGATAAGCATGTCCTTAGCACAAAGTTGATCTTCTGCAAACTCCAGATGAAATCGGGGACAATTATCGGCTCTCCATCATCTCCCATATCAACTACGAGCCAAGTATTGATGACCATCCAAACTATCACAAACCACAAGTACGGTTTACTGCCGAGGATCTTCCTAGACAGGATCCTTATCGTGTTGATAGAAGAAGCGACCCTTCTCGCAAGTACCATGGTCTCTGTATGGTTGTAAGAGTTCTCTCGAGCTCTTCGTACTCCGATAGCTGGAAAGATTTCCTGTTGCTAGAGGCCCTGCTTAGATTTCTGCCAATTTTTGGACTGCTGAGAATCTTGTCGAGAGTTATCACGGCATCTTGAAGTGCGGTCCTTGAACCCCTCCTTTCACCGATATTAGACGGAAAACCAGAAACCTGTAAAACTTAGGAAGAACGCCTGTGGCGCGACGGCGGTGCTTCAGAAAACTCTGCAGCTGGAACGACCGACGATGGGGCCTCTAAAGCGGATCCAGTAGTACCCCCATCAGACTTAGCAGCAGTTACTGCCGGGCGTTGACGACCCTGGGACCCCTTCTCTCTTGGCCTGGCTTTAACCGGTCTTACGTGATCCGAGTTGTCATCCGTCACAAACCTTTCATTCCTTCTACCGCGCCCACAGCTTCCCCTTCTTGTGAGTGCCTGACTTTGCATTCTCTTGATTAACTTCATGTGTTCCATCTGAAAGAAAATAGTTCAGTTCTCATTCATTTTTTACCTCTCTCACCCGTTGGATTCGCTTCTTCTGGTTGTCAGTAAGCTCGTTTCTCTCGAGCAAGACAGCAATGATAAGATTCATAACGACGTAAACTGTCACGACGAAGTAAAAGACGTATAAAAACGGTGCCACTACGCTGCAAACACGAATGCGTCAATACTAGAGATACTTGAGTGACTGCTTACTTATATTGAACTCCAGGTCGCAGGGAATTCCACATTTGGTTTACCCAGGATGGTTACCGTAAACCAGACGAGCATGGCTTCCAGTATGGAATCATGATTTGCTCGCAGATACTCTTCAGGAAAGCTGTAATACTGCCCACTGTACAATTCCATGCTGATGATAGAGATTGCTATGATAACCAGAAGAAAAAAGAAAGAACCAACACTTTCCATGCAAGTAGCCTGTATCACGTACTAAAATCAATCAAAGTGAATGCAGCAACTCACCACTACACTGGGATGTTTTGCAACATACTTCTTTGAAGAGTAAAACCACCGCATGATTGTTAAATTTGGAAACGAATGAGAACAATAGATATCATAACGACTATCAAGTCCAGCAAATTCATTCCTGGAAATTTAAGGATCAGACCAGAAGACAACCGGAAACAATGTACTCACCGTGGCAAAAAAAATCGCCAGGACCGTACCCTAGAAAGTACAGCAGAAGTTCCGCGCTAAAAGAAAAAAGCATTACTGCTTGCAACCCGTCTGCATACAAACTTTATCAGATGAATGAACAGAAAGGAAGTCGTGAAATGAATACCGAGCGTATGCAACAATCGTTTTGACATGCCATACTTGAAGGACGATAAGAGCACAATGTTATCAATGTCTTATTGGCTCGCTCCCCTTCAGCATCCTTCACATCATGCATGACGAGGCTCCATCCTTCCAAAGTTATCACCTGCAGAGTGTCCACTTTGAAGTGTGCTAAGGCGATAAGATGCTATGAAGTGACACAAACCTGAAACATGGTAAGCAGCGAATACCAGAGATAATCAAAAGTTGTCGCTCCATGGTTGGGATTCTCGTATGTCTACAAACAAAGAGATGAAATAAGGAATGAGCTTATAGAAAAAACTCACCATACAGTTCTGAAATGGTGGACATACGTAGCCGCCAGCAGCTTTTTTGTCACAAAAGCGCATCGGATAAGCCAGTTGCCTGTCCGCTGTTCGAAAGCACCTGCCCAGGAGGATTTTGATTTCACGTGATGAGAACTATCGAGATTACCTTTGATTCATCGAGTTTTGCAAGAACTGCGTGCCTAGTAGAGAATAGAAAACCAACAGAAAAAACGTCAAAAGGATAACGTTTTGGAGAGGACCAACGCTTTTTTTCACGGCCGCCATGATGGCCTATTGTCAAGTGTTAACAATGCACAAATCAGAAATTTACAAACCATACTATGACATCGGCAAAAAATGTGACGTGCTTCAACGCTAGCAGGCCCCGAAACACGCGGAACACGGCTGTCCGCGCGAAAAAATTATGTCCAGTTATGCACCTCCCAAAGAGCTGGGGAAACACTTACGACCATCAAATACAAAAGCTCAACATTACCAGGAATCGAAAACAATGACAAAGTCGAGCCTATTGTATGGATTCCACACGTAGCAGTGTCGACCTCTGGTAAAACCAAGAGCCGAAATTTGTCAAATCATTTCAATCCTGCAAACACAAGTGTGAGGGGAAACAACGATGGTAAACTTCTATCCACGTACTGATTGTAGAGAAGCCTAAAAATGTATAAGCGTGACGGGCTGTAGAGGCTCCAAATTCCAAGCGCAGTGCCCTCCATTCTTGCTCCAGTCCCGACAGCACTCCGGCTTGCCTTTCTTCTTATATTCTAGAAACAGAACATAAGAACTCTCCAAAGTCAAAAGAAGTGAAGTTACCATGAGCCTCTTGATCGCAGTGTAAGTCCTCTTGCAGTTCTTGGTTGCCCGGGAATCGGGAATCGCTGGGGCCAGTTGATCCAGTGCGGCAATCAATGCGGCAGATGAAGACGATGACACTGCTCGGTCGCGATCCGGTGCTACTTTGCTCAATCGGAGGCAGCCATGTCGGATGCGGAGCTATGAAATCGTGATCTTCTTGCGGGACGGGATCACTGCAAGAAGTATTTCCAGGCGATCGATCAATCACTAGCTAAGCTACATTATGCCTCTTTATAGGACATCCCTGATGTAGAGGGCGATCGTCATAGCTTGCGTCGCCGCCTCAGAGCGCTCATCCACCGGCGAACTCCCTCCGCCAAGAGCCCCCTAATCCAAAAACGCGTGATACCATAATAGCCTTTTCTCCTTGCGATCGTTTTCGTTTCACAGAAGAAAGAATAAAGTATAGGAGAAAAAACTTCTCTGCATTGATAGCTTGGATCGTATAACCGCCTGTAGTTCCGAGTCTGACAGACGTAGTTCCCATGCAGCCGGAGCTTTCTCAGCTGTGCAGCATTTGGTCCGAGAGTGCTCGGCCACAAAACCCGAGCTCCAGAGCCTGAAAGTAAAAATGTTATGCATTATAGGCTTGGAGAGAGAGAGAGAGAGAGTAACCTGGACTCCATCAGCTCGGGCTCCAACATTTGCTGCAATCCGGGAGTTTCTGCGCTGCCTTGCTACAAGCTCGTATTGCTTGGACGTAATGCACCGCTTTAAAGCCTTGCGCTCCCCTTCCAAGCGACGTGATCGATTTTCTGGCAGAGAGAAGTTAGAACAGCGAAAGAGGGCCAATCTATGTCCGGAGAAGCAGTCCCTGATGGTTCCCACTGGATGATCTTTGGGGGCGGTGGCGCTTCCGCAAGATCATCCATGAAATCCTCGTCGCCGTCAATATGAGCTCTTCTTTCTTGTCGGCGTTGTACCGCCCATAGAGCCGAGCAGTCTCATCTCGCTCTAGCATCGCCGCATACAAACATCGTTCCAATGCTGCGTAGAACAAACGGATCGAGCGCACGCGTCGGCACAAGCATCCAAATCCAAGACCCCACACAACTGGGCGTCACATTCTTTGCAAAGCTGCCCACTTGCTTCATCATCCGATCCGACGCGCACACGCGCGTGCAAGCGAATCGATCCTGGGAATCCAAATCCTCCTGCTGCTGCTCACTCTCATCAAGCGATGATTGCTGGCGCCACCATCTCTCCGCAATACCACCGCCGCCGGATCATCGTGGCAGAGCCTGTGATTCCCAGTAACCCTACAGCCTCCTCCACACTGAGCTTTCCCTAGGGTATTACGCCATGTGGATTGTATCGATATAACAAGGAAAGAAAGAATATCCACTTGCCTAGTTGCTACGGTTAGGCTAATCACTTTCGCCGTCACGGTTGTTTTAAAGCAATGCCAGAGGGCACGGCCTCGAATCTTGCCAAACCCGAGAAAGGGGAAGAGCCTCACGTCATATTGCTAGACAACGCTCTTAAAGAATTTTATCCACACTGGAGCACGACGTCAATGGGAGTCGAACCCGCGACCGTTGCTAATAGTTGTCAGGAGTCGAACCCCCGATGTTCTCCAAGTCTGAGCTGGCAGGCGGTAGAATGGTAAACCCGTTTGGACACGGCGGATCAACAACGCGCAGATCAACAAGGTCCCATCGATCCAATCGAGCCTCTGGAAGTGTCCAGGAGAAGGACACTAGCTCCAGCGCGTCCAACTACTTGACTGCCAACCTGGAGACCACGTGACGACGTAAGAACTGTGCCATTTTAGCTGAAGCGGACAGGATTTTTCGATCATGGAGGTTGTGAGCGGCTTGGTGAGGCCGCTGTGTGTCTTGGGTATGGACGCTGCCAAGAAGGTATGGGACTGCAATGCCAACATTGAAAGGCTGGGGAATGCCATGGCACCCCACATTCAGGCCAAGATCGACGCTTTCGGTCGCCACAAGGAGCGAAATGGACGTGGCTTTATGTTTTCTGAAGCGGTCGAGGAATGCTTGGAGCGTGTCAAGAAATGGAATAGCAAGGCGCAAGAACTCTTGAGATCACGCAACAACAGGATCTGGAGCCCCGTTAGACGGTATGTTTTGCAGCATTTTTGTGCAACAAGGCTGAATTTATTTCTCCCTATAGGTACAAGCGGAGTGGCAAGATCATGGAGTGCTTCAGCTCCTACCAGGATCTCCTGTCGCAGATGGAAAGTCACGGGCACGAGCTGAAGGTGGACATTGCGATGCTGGAGAAGGCGGCGGCCAGCATCCAGGCCATGCTTAACAAGTTTAATGCTCACAAGCACCGGAATCCAGAGTTCCGCTACTCTGATGGAGCCGAGGAGTGGCTTGATCTTGTCACAAAATGGAACGACAAGGCGCAAGCACTGCTGGGACCACAGTAAGTTTACACAAGAGCTCTTACAGTACAGCTAAAAGATCTATGGATGTTTCACAGGGAGAAGCGTTGTGACGAGATCTCAGAGCTGATACACAGCTACGAGGGCGATCTCCTTCCGAAGCTTGAAAGGTACGAGCGAGAAGAGTTGAAAGTGATACAGCCGAGCACTAGCTTCGCCGTACGGAATTTCCCGCAAGATAGAGGCCCTGCAAAAAAATATGTACCGCGCGTTGTTCCTGAGGCCATGTTTGGGGGCCACGAGCAACTGCTGAATGAGGTGGTGAATGCCCTCTTGGATCCCGAAGCCCCTAGCAAATGGGTTGGACTCTTTGGAATGGGAGGGTGTGGAAAGACCACCGTCGCAAGCCTCGCGCACAATGACCGGAGGGTGCGGGAGCATTTCCATGACAACATTGTGTGGATCTTGAATGGGGTGAAATGAAAGAGAGGGCCAGAGGAACCCTTGACGACATGAAGCACTTGGCACGCGATGTTGCTGGTGGTAACCGTGTCTTGCTGGTACTGGATGATGTGTGGGACAGGAGCTGGGCAAAGGAACTGGATTTTATAGCAGGGCCATCCTCTGGCCGGATCCTGGTGACAACCAGAAAGGAAGGCATTTTGCATCCGGATGCAAAGGCATTTCCTGTGCATGAGCTATCAATGGACGAAAGCAAAAAGATGTTTTGGAAGTTTGCCTTCGGTGTGCATGATCCACAACCTGGTGTTGTGGAAGTTGCAGAGAAAATAGCTCGGAAATGTGAGGGACTTCCTCTCGCTCTGGAAGTGATTGGCAGTGCCATGGCTGTCCACAGAAGTGAAGGGCCACAAGTGTGGGAAGAACGATATAAGAGGTTGCACTTGTCCAATGACCCAGACGTTGAGAAGCAGATGTTCAAGCGCTTGAAGTTCAGCTATGACGAGCTGGGAAACGCTGAGGATGAAAAGCTGCAGGAGTGCTTTCTCTATGTGGCTGCATTCCCAGAAGATAGGTCGATTGGGTTAACTGAGTTGAGGAAATGTTGGATGGAGGTTGGGTCAGAACTCTCACCCACAGCGATTGTCAATGAACTGGAACGGAGATGCCTGGTCAAGATACGTAAGCACCCAATAACAGATTTTATAATCGTACACGATATGCTACGCAAACTATGCATAAGAATCTTAAAAGGGAAGTACAGTCCACAGCAAGAGCACGAGAAGGGATGCCTGTTTGGATATGACTGGACAAGTGGCATTCAGAATGCAACATTTGCTAAAGTCTCATTCATCTCAAAGAATGTTGGCAGCTTTCTATCCGATAATCATGTGCGAGATGTCATACTTCTGGATAAATGTAAAGAACTTTCTAATGTGGATGACAGTCTTATCAATCACATACAAGGGGTCAAGGTATTGAGCTTGTGGCGATGCTCTAAGATCCATTCTATTCCAGAGAGCATATCCAAGCTGAAAAACCTTCAACTGCTGGACATTCGAGAAACAAATGTGAGGCAATTACCAGATGCGCTTTTCAGCCTGACATCACTGAAATTTCTAAAATGTACAAGGTGGAGGCCGACGAAGTGTAACATTGCATTACTGCCCCAGCTCTCCAACTTGGAAGAGCTGGAGCTGAGGCTTGATTCAAAAGAGGAGTCATCAGTTGTGGATTTGACTGGAATTTCGCGTAAACTAAGACATTTAAGAATGACACATGGTACAATGAAGGTGCCAGAAAGCATGGGGACACTGGAGCACATTGAAACATTGGTTTTACATGCAAACAACATCGACTTTGCCACTTTCGTTGGGTTATGGCAACTTGTCAACCTAACAAAATGTCAAATTCATGTGGAAACCCTCAGCAGAGCTGCTTGGAAACGAATGTTTATGAAATCAATCAAGCTTCAACATTTTTCCATCGTTGGGGTAGAAGACAGTGAAAATAGTGATGACAGCTTCGAATGGTTGCAACTACGATATCTAGACATCCGTGATATCATAAACTTATCTTGGTTATTCCACCGCCTAGAAACACTTTTTATTAACTGCAATCGTATCCACTTCTTCAACCTGGATGGATCATTCCCACGTCTTGGAGATCTGAGTCTTACTAATCTACAGATTGCACAGTCAGAATTCAAGGATGATTTGGCTGCCAGTCTTCCAAATCTGAAGGAGTTGGGGTTTGAGCTAGCTCCTGATATTGAATGGGAGCACTTGCCTCTCTTTGTGACACAGCTCCCCAATCGCCTCGAGTCTCTGCGAATAACGGGTTGTATAAAGAGACTTTTGTTGCCAACTGAGAGGTCATCACTCAAGGTTGAACGTCTTTCAGTATCCAGCAGGAAGATGCAAAATGATTTCTTTGAGCCATCAGATCAAATGACTGATATAGAAATCGTGCATTTTGATGAGACTATCATTCCATCGTCCATTGCATCGCTGCCATCAGATCAAATGACTGATATAAAAATCGTGCATTTTGATGAGACTATCATTCCATCGTCCATTGCATCGCTGCCATCAGATCAAATGACTGATATAGAAATCGTGCATTTGAGCTGTGATGAGACTATCATTCCATCGTCCATTGCATCGCTGCCAGGTTTGAAATTTCTTGACATTTCGGGGCCAAGCGTGATACAGAACGATGCACTGTGGTCCCACAATAAGAGCCAGGCTGGAATCGCTATCCTGCCCGAAAGGCATGAAAATTCCACCTTGGCTTGAGGACCGCCCCAATCTCAGGATAAATCGTTACAAAACTGCGACTGCACCACTATTCTCCCACCAGGAGAGCTTCGCCTCTGGCAATCTCTAGCACCTCGGGTTTGCTCCTTGTCGATTCCAATTCTTGCTGAGCTGCCACCTCGGTTTTGCTCACAGCAGCACCACCTTTGCCAGCTCTTATCCTCGCCAGGAAACCTCTCACGAGAGCCTGCATTTTCGTCGCAGCGCCCTGGATGTACACGGCCTGGATCCGCTTCTCACGCTCGATGCGCAGAGTGAGAGGCAACCCCTGTGTTAATCCGAGCCAAGCGTAAGTATCAAAAGGTTGGAATAGCAGCTACTTACAGTTGGTCCGATCTTATACAGCGTCAGCGTTTCCAGCAGCTCCTTGAAAGGGATTCCTTTGTTTGGAACTCGAAAACTCATTGCCTCGTACTCTATTCTCATGTACCTGGGCAGAACAAAGAAAAAATCAAGATTGGGAGGACTCCGCAAACACACGCCAAACCATTGGGTCGCGGACTTGTAGCGCCGGCCCAGCGGGTCACCGAGGGCGTTTACAAATCGTCGCAGCTTGTGCATGCCAATGTATCCTGTAGCACTGGACGATTATAAAGTTAGTTCTACAAGGACTTGAACGTAAGTGGCTTACTTGGGATCGAATCATTCTTGGCTCCACCAATTTCGATATGCTAACAGGTGCTCTGGCATGATCATAGAGTTCTTGTTCACAAGGCCGAAGGTTACAGCATCCAGTATGACAGCCACGAACAAGTTCATGAATATGCGACTCCCGACCAAGACCAAGAAGGCGAAGGAGATAATGCCGCCCTCCACAATCATCACCGAGTAGTGTTTTACCGTTGGTGCAGGCGGGTGCATCAATTGTGGTATCCATCATAACGCAAGACCAGTTATCAAGAGTTGTAACCTGTAAAAGAAAAGTGAAACTGAAAGTGATAGAAAAACAAGCCTTTACCTGAAACACCGCGATGAAAGTGTTGACGAAAGTGCGAAAGTTGACAGACGGGCCAATGCAGGTCCCTTCCTTCATTGCACTGAAGAGTTGGAAACGCCATTCCCGCGAACATATACATGAAAATTGCGAGAAGAGCGAGTATCTCAGCTACAGTTGCCAAACAGATGAACATTGTTCGCATAATAACCCGTGCTCTCGTGAAGAATGATGCAGAAAACTCGAGCAATGTAGGCAGTGCGGCTGACATAGCCCCTCACCGTTCCCTTCTTTCCCATGAGACCAAGGCGGCCATTATGGAGAGTCCAAACTCCATCTGCCGTGCAACCTCGTTCTTATAGACCTTCCACTGGAGAAAGGAAAAACCAGGTGGTCAAACAAAAAATAATTGAGAAAAAGATAAATGACGTACCTCGTCGCCAAGGAACTTCATCACGGATTCGAGCAGGAATTATGTTGTAATCGCACAGTGAGTCATCTGACGCCGGTCCGAAACAACTGCCGACTGGCCAGCAGAATAGAATAAGTTTTCTGGATGATACGGTTCATGTCCCTCCACAGCTTCTGCCTCTCTGTGAGAAGAACTGCTCCAGAAATTTTTCCAAACTCGTTGATAAACACCCGATGAAAACTCTGACGATATAAAATCCCCCGATACAGCAGAGTGCCACGAAAAACAAGGCGTTGACAGGACTCGCGTTCCGAACAGGCTGGTGGTCTTCCCTAGTGATGTCCATGACAGGATACATGAAGTGCGTCAGCCAGTTGTCGAAAGTGGAGCAGACAAACATATTGAGGAGGGCATTCTGAATGTCGTCGAACTGGAAAACGTTATTAACCCAGGCTCGCGGAGGAAGGATGCCGATGTCATTAACATAGAGGCTGGTACATGCGTGATTGTCGGGTCATTGCATTTCCAGAGAAGGCCCCGAAACTGCTGCAGCCCGATGGTTCCAAATATCAAGAGAATTGAAAATGTGAAGAGAATAACCGACACAATTGCTGGAATAGTCCGAAAAAGATTTGATAATAATGACCTCAGTCCTGTAAACCGAACCACGAAACGAAATGGCCGAAGAGAAGTAAACGCACCGACGGTTGGTATGGAAGTTTCATCCTCAGCGTTATACTTCAGAAGAATAAGCGCATCGGTGACGAGAATAAACAAGTCAAGGATGTTGTACCAGTCACTCAGGTATGCGTCTGGCGCAAAAATAAGTCCCTGTGCAACGATCTTCATCAAACAGTCTAGCAAAAAGACCTGCTCCAAAACAATGTACAATGTCGAGCAAAATAAGATAAGCATGTGCTTACCACAAAGTTGATCTTCTGCAGACTCCAGATGAAATCGGGGACAATTATCGGCTCTCCATCATCTCCCATCTCAACTACGAGCCAAGTATTGATGACCATCCAAACTATCACAAACCACAAGTACGGTTTACTGCTGAGGATCCTCCTAGGCAGGATCCTTATCGTGTTGCCCTCTCCAAATAGAAGAAGCGACCCTTCTCGCAAGTACCACGGTCTCTGTATGGTTGTAAGAGTTCTCTCGAGCTCTTCGTACTCCGACAGCTGGAAAGATTTCCTGTTGCTAGAGACCCTGCTTAGATTTCTGCCAATTTTTGGACTGCTGAGAATCTTGACGAGAGTTATCACGGCATCTTGAAGTGCGGTTCTTGAACCCCTCCTTTCACCGATATTAGACGGAAAACCAGAAACCTGTAAAACTTGGGAAGAACGCCCGTGACGCGACGGCGGTGCTTCAGAAGACTCTGCAGCTGGAACGACCGATGATGGGGCCTATAAAGCGGATCCAGTAGTGCCCCCATCAGCCTTAGCAGCAGTTTGACGACCTGGGACCCCTTCTCTCTTGGCCTGGCTTTAACCGGTCTTACGTGATCTTTGACGCTTAACATGCGAGTTGTCATCCGTCGCAAACCTTTCATTCCTTCTACTGCGCCCACAACCCAGCTTCCGCTTCTTGTGAGTGCCTGACTTTGCATTCTCCTGATTAACTTCATGTGTTCCATCTGAAAGAAAATAGTTCTTAGATGCAGTTGTCATTTTTTACCTCACTCACCCGTTGGATTCGCTTCTTCTGGTTGTCAGTAAGCTCGTTTCTCTCGAGCAAGACAGCAATGATAAGATTCATAACGACGTAAACTGTCACGACGAAGTAAAAGACGTATAAAAACGGCGCCACTACACTGCAAACACGAATGCGTCAATACTAGAGATACTTGAGTGGCTGCTTACTTATATTGAACTTCAGGTCGGAGGGAATTCCACATTTGGTTTACCCAGGATTCAGCCGTGGTTACTGTAAACCAGACAAGCAAGGCTTCGAGTATGGAATCATGATTTCCTTGCGGATACTCTTCAGGAAGGCTGAAATACTGCCCACTGTACAATTCCATGCTGATGATAGAGATTACTATGATAACCAGAAGGAAAAAGAAAAAAACCCCCGCCAAAGAGCCAACACTTTCCATGCCAGTAGCCTGCATCACGTATTAAAATCAATCAAAGTGAATGCAGCAACTCACCACTACACTGGGATGTTTTGCAACATACTTCTTCGAAGAGTAAAACCACCGCTTAATTCTTAAATTTGGAAACGAATGAGAACTGAGTGCCACAATAGATGTCAAAACAACTATCAAGTCCAGCATATTCATTCCTGAAAATTTCAGGATCAGACCAGAAGACAACATGAAAACAAAGAACTCACCATCGTCAAGAAAATCGCCACGACCATATGCTAGAAAGCGCAGCAGAAGTTCCCCGCTGAAAGCAAAAAGCATTACTGCTTGCAACTCGTCTGCATACAAAATTTATCATGCTGAACAAATAGAAAGGAAGTCGTGAAATGAATACCGAGCATATGCAACAACCGTTTTGACATCCCATACTTGAAGGACGATAAGAGCACGACGTTAATGGTGACACTGAGAAGTACTCCCCACTCAAACTTGGGATGTTCAACGATGTCGCGGCTTTTTCCGGAAACTGTCAACGCTGCTTGAACTCCTATCGTCATACTTCGACTGAAAGACCTACTGGACCGCACTCCCATTGATTTGGCTTGAAGGGCAGTCCGCAGGGAGGTCCGTGTCCGACTTAATGCTCTCGCGACATTCTGCTGCACCTTTCCTCACCTGTTGAGTAAGCGGTTCTTGACCTGCGAGTCGGCTTTGACGATATTGTCTTTCAGCACTTGTGCCATCATCGTTGCATCGTAAAAGGACACCGAGGTTCTACGGGCTTTCCTCAGCAAAGCCTGGATAATAACAGCTTAACTTAAGCCAAATCAGTCGGTCGTTAAAAACAAGTGGGCACCTGATGCTCTGATCGAACACGAAGAAATACACCACTGATACCGGCGATGAAAACGTTCGCCAGGAAATATGTACCCAGAACAATTAACGTCATAAAGTAAGAATCTGTGGTGCAATGGCTTGTGTAAGCAATAAAAGAAACAATGTCAACGCCTTACTGGCTCGCTCCCCTTCAGCATCCTTCACATCATGCATGACGAGGCTCCATCCTTCCAAAGTTATCGCCTGCAGAGTGACCACTTTGAAGTCTGCTAAGGCGATAAGATGCTATGAAGTTGAAACATGGTAAGCAGCGAATACCAGAGATAATCAACAGTTGTCGCTCCATGGTTGGGATTCTCGTATGTCTACAAACAAAGAGATGGATAAGGAATGAGCTTATAGAAAAAACTCACCATACAGTTCTGAAATGGTGGACATACGTAGCCGCCAGCAGCTTTTTTGTCACAAAAGCGCATGGGATAAGCAAGTTGCTTGTCCGCTGTTCGAAAGCACCTGCCCAGGAGGATTTTGATTTCACGTGATAAGAACTATCGAGATTACCTTTGATTCATCGAGTTTTGCAAGAACTGCGTGCCGAGTAGAGAATAGAAAACCAACAGAAAAAACGTCAAAAGGATAACGTTTTGGAGAGGACCAACGTTCTTTTTCACGGCCGCCATGATGGGTAAAGTGTTAACAATGCACAGATCAGCCAAAAGGAAATTTAGAAACCATACTATGCCATCGGCAAAAAATGTGACATGCTTCAACGCTGGCAGGCCCCGAAACACGCGGAACAGCGCGAAAAAATCCTCGAGCAATGATATGTACCCTGTACCTCGCAAAGAGCTGGTGAAACACTTACGACCATCAGATACAAAACTTCAACAATACCAGGAATCGAAAACAATGACAAAGTCGAGCCTATTGTACGGATTCCGCATGTAGCAGTGACGACCTTTGATAAAACCAAGAGCCGAAATTCGTAAAACCATTTCAATCCTGCAATCACAAGTGTGAGGGGAAACCTCGAAGAGGAAAACAACGACTACGTGTAAAGCGCCGTGATGAGCCCGTCCAGGAAATCGATGTTGAAACTCCGGACGTGTGTCTATCGTTCGTGCCTAGACCCAGCCATCGCTTGAAAGATAAGCGAGCATATAAGAGAAACACAAAGACATACTCGGCTCTCCTGCCACCAAAGCCTGTTAGAGGAAGGATGATAAACTTCTATCCACGTACTGATTGTAGAGAAGCCTGAAAATGTATAAGCGTGACGGGCTGTAGAGGCTCCAAATTCCAAGCGCAGTCCCCTCCATTCTTGCTCCAGTCCCGACAGCACTCCACCTCGTCTTTCTTCTTATATTCTAGAAACAGAACATAAGAACTCTCCAAAGTCGAAAGAAGTAAAGTTACCATGAGCCTCTTGATCGCAGTGTAAGCCCTCTTCCAGTTCTTGGTTGCCGGGGAATCGGGAATAGCTGGGGCCAGTTGATCCAGTGCGGCAATCAATGCGGCAGACGAAGATGATGACGCTGCTGGGTCGCGATCCGGCGCTGCTTTGCTCACGCCGTGAATCGGAGGCAGCTGATCCTCCCATGTCGGATGCCGAGCTATGAAATCGTGATCTTCTTGTGGGACGGGATCACTGGAAGAAGTATTTCGAGGCGATCAATCAATTACTGCATCAGCTAAGCTACATTATGCCTCCGGCGCCTACCTCTGCGTGTAGCTTGCGTCGCCGCCTCGAGAGCGCTCATCCGTGGCCGTCACCGCCAAGAGCCCTAAAATTCAAACTACCTAATCCAAGAACGCGTGATCCAAGGGCGGCAGTTTGGCCACGAGAGCCTTTTCTCCTTGCGATCGTTTTCGTTTCACAAAAGAACGAACACAGTATAGGAGAAAAAATTTCTCTGCATTGATACCCTCATGACCTTAGACACTCGCTCTGGCACCGCCGCATACAAACATCGTTCCAATTGGGGACGTGATGCTGTGTAGAACAAACAGATCGAGCGCATGCCTCGGCACAAGCATCCAAATCCGAGACCCCACACACAGTGACGCACGAATTGGGCGTCACATCCTTTGCAAAGCTGCCCACTCGCTTCATCATCCGATCCGATGCGCACACGCGCTTGCAAGCGAATCGATCCTGGGAATCCAAATCCTGCTGCTGCTGCTCGCTCTGATCGAGCGATGATCGCCGGGGCCGCCATCTCTCCGCAATGCCACCGCCGCCACTCTTACCGCTCTTGCCGCGCCGCCACTGCCGGATCATCGTGGCGGAGCCTGTGATTCCCAGTAGCCCTAGCCCCAGCCCCACCGCCGCGCTCCACCACGAGCCCTCCACCATTCTTGCTACTCCAAGCTTGCCCTAGAGTATCCGCGTATATTCTCGTGTGTAAAGTAGATTCTATTTTGGTAAATTGTCAAAGAGTTATCAAATACTCGTAGAGCTTTTTGGCTTTTGCCCAGAGGAGATCATCCTCCTATCCGCGCCATGTTCCATGTCGCCCTCTCTCCATCCCGTTCGTTGGATCGTATCGATTTCCAATATACAAGGAAAGAAAGAATATCCCAGTGGAGCTCTCCCTGGTTGCGGTTTTGTTGGCCCCACCAGGGCTGCCATCCGCACGTGGGGCGGTCCACTTGGGCGGTGTATACAGTGTAGACACAGTGTTATCTTACTTCTTAAGACGCGATACACATACTTAATTGAATTAGTTGCTCGGGTTAGTCTAATCACTTTCGCCGTCACGGTTGTTTTCGCGGGCTTTAAAGCAATGCAAGAGGGCACGGCCTCGAGTCGTGCCAGCTCCGAACCAACACTAAACCCGAGAAAGGAGAAGAGCCTCACGTCACATCGCCGAGGCCCCCTCAAAGCTTGGGCATAGACAACGCTCTTAAAGAATTTTATCCACACTGGAGCACGGCGTCAATAGGAGTCGAACCCGCGACCGTTTCTAGTAGCTGTCAGAGACGGATTCGAACCCCGGATGTTCTCCAAGTCCGAGCTGGCAGGCGGTAGGGTTTGAACACTGGACTGGATTGTAAACCCGTTTGGATGGTAATACCCCGTTCACACGGCCTTCACGGCGGTGTGCCTGTGTTTGCCATGCCAGGAGAAGCGCAAGGGGGACGGAGCTAGCTTTGAAGACGCGACGACGCGGGGCGGATCGGGGGTTTGTGGATCGCTGCCGGGCTATTGGAGCTTCCAGCGCCTGGATGAATGGAGGTTCTAGCGGCCAGTTCTTAGGTGGGGAAATGGGGAGGATGATCCAATCTTGATCGGCGGCATTCTCGTATTCCGAGAATCGAGGCGCTGCGCGCGTCTTGTTCCCGGCGCTGGCATCACATCGAAGGGTATTGTGGATATTTCGGAGCTGCTAGTCTCGATCCGGTTCGTGGCGCCCCAAATTTCCTGGCGTCTTCCGCGCGGCCGATGCATGACGACGGTGTAGCGGCATCGGGTGTCGACAAGAACGCTGCTGATCACTATTCCAGGTCTCGCGTTTTCATGTGTACAGGAGGATTGGACAGAATTGATGAGGAGATAGATCGCTCGCCGGTATGCTCAGCAGGCGCTATGATCCACCGTTACCAGTAAAACATCCTACTGGAACACCGCCAACGCGCAGATCAAGAAGGTTATGTATTCTCCTCTACAGGAAGAAGACTCGCAGCTTGTGCTACCACCGCTTTGAGCAAGACCAAGATCGCCGCATCGATGTCGCAGCCAGGAATTGGCATGGGAGGAGCAACGGGGCCGTTTGGAGACACCACTTACACCAAGGTCTTTGTGGGGGGATTGGCATGGGAGACCCAAAGGGATGCCATGCGCCGCTACTTTGAGCAGTTTGGAGAAATCCTGGAGGCGGTCGTCATCACGGACAAGAACACAGGGCGATCAAAAGGATATGGCTTTGTAAGTCTTGTTTTTTTCTCTCCTTTGCTCTTCCCTTTTTTTCCATGCATTTTTTTCTTTCTTCGTTTTTACTTACGCTACTTAAACTCATTCAGGTGACCTTTCGTGATCCCGAGGCGGCTCGGAGGGCCTGCGTTGATCCGGCTCCCATCATCGATGGTCGTCAAGCCAACTGCAATCTTGCTTCGCTTGGTGCCCGTGCTCCTCGTCCGCCATTTACATATCCAGGTTTGTCAAACGCTTTGAAATGTAGCTAGCATGACGCTTGGAAGGATTATATCCATATCAACGTTGTCATGTCATGGATGATGTAGGAGCTCGTTTCCGGCCTATGAGGCCTGCTGCTTCTCCTCCACACCCCGGGACCCCCTCATACCCTGTGGCTCCGTCATTCCCCCAATTCGGCCCCTACTACCAGCCGGGCTTTGGATATCCACAGCAGTATGGGTGAGTGAGCTTTTGCTTTTGCAATAGTCGATAGATATCCTAACAGTTCTCCAATGATTTTTCGTGGTTTACAGGTATCATGTTCCAGACTATGCTTATCAGCAGGTTAGTTCGAGGTTTAGTGGTGTACTGCCGATATCTTATTTATTAAATTCTAATTGCAGGGACTGTATCCTTTTGGTGGTCCTCAGTATTCCACATTTTATACTGGACCTGGTACACCCACAGCTGTGTACTCGTACGGCGGGTTTGGGCCACCTTTGCCATCTGGGCCAGGTTATCCTCCACCACAGGGATATGGAAGCATGCAAGGACCACAGTTCATGCAATATGGTGGAACAGTACCGCTTCAGTCTCCCGTGCCTTCCACTGGTATTAAATATTTCTTCTCTTTGCATATCTTGACTCTCCTTGTACTGCAGCGGTATCACCTGGACATTCCGGAGGAGGAACTGGAGCCTCTACTCCGTCTCCAATGCAGCAGTTTTCTCTCCCTTCTCCTTCTCAGCCACAACCTCAATTTTCACAGGCGGGAGGTTCGTGATTATTTCATTTTGAAGCTGAGCACAATCTGTACAATCTCTGCAAGCAGTGAAACAACAACCGCACGGCTGGAGTGGGAGGTCGTCGTCACCATGCTCAACTGCATCCCCCCCGTAATCCGAGAGTAAGCATGAGTACTCACTTCTCAGGTTTTGGGGGCCAGGATTCATATCGTCGGAAAACCAGCAAAAACAACAAAAAAAAAACATAAAAACGAAAGAAAAACAGCAACAAAAAAAAAACAACGGTCGGTCACTAGATTAGCTCGTAGGGGGGGGCGGGTGGTTAAAATTCTTTTTCGTCTTCCTTTTTTTCTTTTTTTTCCTTTCGTCTATAATTCATTTTGTCACTTAATCGTTCTGAGGTCGGCGCAACCCGAATTTTGCTTCTATGTCGTCCTAAGATGTGTGTCTAACTCTTGCCGTGTCTTTCTTTCTTACAGGTGAAGAGGTCTGCTGAAACTGATGGTATGTTGGTTCATTCTATTGTCTTTTTTATGTTTCTATCTACTGACTAGTGTCGCTTTTTGACAGCTGAGTTTGAATGGAACGCATTCATTTCACTTGGATTGAAATGCCAAAGTGTTTCATAGCTACAGCTCCCGACGTGACATTCTACTCGTCAAAGTAGTAATCGTTCAAGCATTTGGGACAACAACAGAAATGAAAATCATTTGATATTGCGTCACGGAATCTCTTCGTCCTCCACGGCATTGGAGGCGTGAGTGTTGGAAAGGAGAACATACAGTGCAGGCGTTCTTGGCTGCAGCTGGAAGACATGTTTGGCCACCCGTGCTCCCGTTTGGACGTCATTCTGGCCTTTGCAGCCGCCGAGCAGTGCCATCCACGCGACAGAGTCCGGTTCGAATGGCATCGTGTTGAGCAGCTCTTCCGCCTGGTGAAGCCAGCCTATTCTTGCCAGAAGGTCGATGATGCAGATGTAGTGATCCACAGTTGGCACGACCCCGTGGTCTTCGACTAGTTGCAAGGCTGTGAAGTACCACAGGGCTTCAGTGAGCAGACCTCCGTGGCTACAGGAAGTTAGAATACAGATGAAGCTGGCGCTCTGGGGCTTGTGTCCTTCGACTTCCATGGTCCGGAAGATCTCCAGGCTCTCTTGGAAGAGGCCGTTTTGGGAGTAAGCAGCAACCATCGTGTTCCAGCAAGGGACGTCCCGCTTTGTGAGCCCGTCAAACGCTCTCTTCGCCTCACACAGCCGCGCACAGCGTGCGTACATGGTTATGAGCGACGTGGCTACGATGGTGTTGGAGTGGAACAACTCGGAGTGAAGGATGCTGGAATGGATCAACTTCCCCTCGCGGAGAGCTGCCAGAGTCGCGCAGGCATCGAGAGCGCTGGATAGAGATGCGTGGTCCAGCGGCACCGCTTCCAGGTCCATGACTTTGAACAGGTTGAGAGCATCCAGAGCAAGGCCTGCTTGGGTGTAGGCCGCGATCATGGCGTTCCAAGCGATGGTATCTCGTACAGGAAGACCGTCGAACAGGGCTCTGGCTTGGGTGATATGCCCGTGCCGGGCATAGGCCACCACCAATGCGGTTGCAGAGACAACGTCCCGCTTGGGCATCCTCTGGAAAAGAAGCTCCGCGTCCTGGAGCTGCCCTTCCTCCGCAAAGCCTTGCATCATCGCGTTCCAGGAGGCAACGTCTCTGCACGGTGAAACGTCGAAGGTGGCCTTGGCGGTAGAGAGCTGCCCGTTTTGGACGTAGGCCTGCAGCAGTGCGTTCCAGCACACGAAGTTTCTGTGGGGAACTTTGTCGAAGACGCTCCTCGTCCGTGCCATGTCCCCGGCGGTGGCGTACCCGGACAGCAGCGTGTTCCAGGTAACACCATTCCGGTTTTGCGTCTCGTCAAATAACTCCCTGGCTCTGTGCAGTGCCCCGGCTTTGCAGTACGCCGAGACCATCGTGTTGTGCGCGTGTAAGTCCCTGTGTGGCGTCGCTTCGAACACCCTCTCGGCCTCGCGGAGGTGCCCAGCCGCGACGAGCCCGGCGAGCACCGTGTTCCAGGACGCGGTGCTCCTCTGCGGCATCCTCTCGAAGGCGGCGAGAGCGCTCTGGAACCGCGAGTTGTCGACGTAGCCTTGGATCATGATGTTCCACGAGTAGGCGGTTCTCTCCGGCATGGCATCGAAGAGGGTCTTGGCTCTGGCCAGCTCCTTGTGGTTCGCGAGCACCAGGATCATGAAGTTCCAGGACACGGAGGTCTTCTCCGGCATTCGCAGGAAGAGCTCTTTGGCCTCCACGACATGCCCGGTTTGGGCATATGCGGTCATCATGGTGGTGCCGGAGATCGCATCGTGGAAGGGCATCTTGTCAAACGCAGTCGTGGCATTGGAGACGAGGCCGTTGTGGGCATATGCCTCGACGATGCTGTTCCACGTCACGATGCCCCTCTCGGGCATATTTTTGAACAGGAGCTCCGATTCCGGCATATGCCCAGCCCGAGCATATGCTGTTAGGAGTGTGTTCCACGTCACGCTGGTCCGCGCGGGCATTCGGTCAAAGGCATCTCGGGCGAGGGGAATCTGGCCGTTCTGGGCGTAGGCGAGGATGAGGATATTCCAGGAGAAGGCGTTTGGGTGGGCGAGGCGGTCGAATGCCGTACGCGCGTCGTCGAGGCTGCCGCAGGCGCCGTACATCTGGACGAGGGAGTTGCCGAGGAAGAGGGTGGTGTCTATGGCCGCCGCGGACAGGAGGCGGTGGATTCTCTGGCCCTCGCACAGGGCTCTCGCGCCGCCGCACTGTTTGAGGAGCGTGACATAGGTGGCTGTGTTGGATGCTCGCGGAGATTGTTCTAGTCTGGTTAGAGCTTCCCTCACTGCTGCTATGGTGGTGCTGACACACATTTGTTTGCTAGCTTTGCGCGAGAATCCATGAACGAGGCAAGATCATCGAGGCACCAAAAAGGAAATGTGGTGTTTGGAAGTGGCCTTGCTCCAGATTTACGTATATGTTGTGAGCGTTCTTCCGTGATCCGCATTAATTAACTGGCATAATCCAATGTGCCCAAAGCGGGCATATGTGAGAAAGCACAATTCTTCCAGCCTCTTTAGAACTTCTTTCACTCGGGCAAGATCATCGAGAAACCACCGAAAAGGAAAAAATGTTTGAAACTTACGCAGAGATTTACGTACGTAGCTTTCTTTCGCTTTCTTTCTTTCCAACCAAACTGCCATGATCCAATATGCCCAAAGCGGGCATATGTGAGAGAGGCCAAAGGTGACGCGTTTAGAGCTTCGTTTTAGATCTTCTTTCACTTGCTCATACCAGGCATCGATGACAAAGATTTACGTACGCTTTACTGCGCTGCTTCTTTTTCTGCAGTGATCCGCATTGACAAAACTATGTGAGAGCGCCAAAGCTCACAAATTATTCCAGCCTCCTTAGAGCTTCTTCGCTTGGTGCTCTCGATCTCGTCCAAAGTAATTCTCGCGACTGCTTAAACAGTGTTGAGCATCGAGCAAAGAAAATCACACTTGCAGCTTCGAGTAGATCGACCCCAGCGGGAAGAGAAAACCATAAACAATACAAGCACAGCCTACGGACAAGGACAAAAAGATTAAATTCCAGAAACAAATGTAAAGAATAGACACTGACGACTTCAAAACAAAAACAAATTGCTGCTGCTCCTGCTGCTGCTGCTACTGTACCTCGCTCGATCTGTGCAGTGGATGCGGTAACGCCACCAATCTTCTCCAGCATTGAAGAGATCTTCCCTCCTCTTTGTCGCTGCTAGGCCGCGGATCTCCGCCCCGACGACGGCGTCGTCGTCGCCGTCCTTGTCTTCACCTCCGAATCATCGGCCTCCAGGAGCTCGTCACCATACTTGACAGTGTCGAGCTTGAGCTTCTTCTCGCTTTCCAGGCTCTCCCCCCGGGGACCCTTTCTCAAGATCTGTACCACCTCGTGCATGGTGGGCCGGTTCTCGGGCGTGTTCTGCGCGCACATCGTCGCGACGTGGACGACGTTCTTGAGCTCCTCCGCGTTGAACTTGCCTTGCAGCTTGGGGTCGACCAGCTCGGTCAGCCTGCCTTGGAACACCAGCGGCGCCGCCCACTCGACGATGGTCCGCTTGGTTCCCGGCCCCAGCTTCTCGATCGGCTTCTTCCCACTGATGAGCTCCAGCAGGAGGATCCCAAAGCTGTAGACGTCGCAGCTCTCCGAGACTTTCCCCCACATCGCGTACTCGGGCGCCAGGTAGCCGAGAGTTCCCTTGACACGGGTGGTGACGTGCGTCGCTCCCTCCGGGACGAGCTTGGCGAAGCCAAAGTCGGCCACCTGGGCTTCGAAGTCGGAGTTGAGCAGCACGTTGCTGGCTTTCACGTCCCGGTGGATGATGTGCGGCGTTGCATTGTGATGCAGGTACCTGGAAAGCATTGCAATCAACGATAAGAGCCAGAGCGAGAGCTGAGATTAAAGTCTGACTTACTCGAGTCCTTCGGCAGATCCGATGGCGATGTTCATTCGCTTGTCCCAGTCAAGCTGGTTGTCCGGCGCGAACTGACCGTGCAAATGTGACAAGAGGCTTAGATTTGGCATGTAGTCATACACTATCAAGCGCTCTTGTCCTTCAGCACAGTAGCCTCTTAGGCTCAACAGGTTTTTATGTCGAACTCGTCCAAGGATCTCCACCTCCACTGAGAATTCCATCTCTGCTTTCGTGCTCCATACTTTCAATCTCTTCACGGCGATCTGGCGCAGAGGAAAAACTGGATAAATCAAAACTTGAAAACTTCTCGTCACCAATACCTGCGAGCCATCCCAAAGTTGCCCCCAGTAGACACTGCCAAAGCCGCCTTCCCCTAGCTTGTTGTCATAGTTAAAGCTGTTTGTGGCCGAGTGGAGCTCTTTCAAGGAAAAAATTCTCCATTCCTTTTTTTCTGATGATTTTTGCCTGAAGAGCGCAAAGTAACCACAAAGTATATCGAAGGACTTGTATCGAAAACAAGATTACCTGGGAACTCTACCACAAATGCACCGCTCCAAGTACTCCATAAAAGCTCTGGCGAAGCACAAGAATAAAGAAGGAAAAGCTCGCTCACAACAGTAGAAAATCCCGGAGCGCACGATCCTCTCTCTTTCGCAAGTGTTGCAATCTGCCCATAAATAATTACTTTCCTCCTCTCCTGCTGTCCTGAGAAAAACAAAACGAGGCATCAAAAACCCAGCTACGCGCAAATGCATTGTATAGTGACGATCGCTATCGTAAGGCAAGAAAGAAGTTAATCTCTAATCGTGCGGGCATGAAGCCCATGAGTGAGAGCTAGCCGGATCGATCGAGACTCTAGAGCACCAAAAATCCGAGCAGCAAACAAGCAAGGCCAGAGAAGCTAACGCAAATGCCTCGATCTCTTGGATCTAGCACCAAAATCACTCGAAATACCTGAAATGTGATACAAGACCCTGCTGGAATCCGCCCGGATCGCCGAGATTTGAGTGAAGCTCCACGAAATATGAGAGATCCAATGCTTGGCGCTGGCGCTGGGCGGGCGATAGACCTAAAGGAAGACTCTCCTCATCCGCGCTTAGGGAAAGACCCAGCCACGGCGAAGTGGCTTTCTCTCGCTGGGCTACGCTACCCTCTGACTGACGGCAACCGCATATGCCGAGAACCATCGACCGGAATGGTGACCGTTGGATTCAAATGACCGAATATGCGATGGGATCCTAGGGTTTTAGGGTTTTGGAGCTGGAGCGATGCCGCTGGGCGTGCTCACGGGGTTTCTCCGGGCGAGGCGCGTGCCCAAGAAGGGATTTCTCTCCCTCAGCCCCAAGCGCGCCGAGAAGAACTACTACAAGGGCAAGGGCGTGATCAACTACGGCCGATTGACGAAGAAAGGTATGCCGATTGATCCATCGATTCGATTCTAGTTCACATTTTGCCCTATTCTCTTCAGGAGGATTTAGCGTCCTGCTTCACAAGCTCCCGAAATTCGTCGTGCCGGATATCACTGGATTCAAGGTCTGTTCTCCATTTCATCCATCGCTGCGTGACTGATCGATCGAAATCTTAGCTCAAGCCCTATGTCGCGCACAATGTGCCCAAGATCGTGTCGAAGGAGAAGCTCGAGAAGGAGAAAGCCAGCGCTGGAATCTGAATTGATGCCGTGCGAACATTCCGGTACGCTTGGAGAATATGCCGTCACCGGCGTTAAAATATTCTCATCCATTTAAAAATTTTGACTTTTACCTTTTCTTTCGACCTTTATAGGGCTCATGTTTGAATGGCACACGCGCATCTTCATCTTGATCAGTGGTGGCTATGGCGGAGACGTGCGCCATTCCAGTCTCGCAGTGGCAATTCCGGATCTCCTCCCCAATCCCGCGCCACAGCGGCGGCATCGGCAGCGCGAATTCCAGGGAGCAATGCGTCGCCAAGGCCGCGGCGGCGGGATCGTTCGTCCTCCACGACGATCAAGATCAAGAATGCAGGTCTGTCGCTGCGATTTCACCTCCTCTCCGGCGTAGATCTGATGCCGCGCCGCTCGTCGGTGAAATCGCGGGGATTCTCGACACCGTCCGCGACGTCCGCGAGCTCCCGGACGCTCTAGCGAGGTTTCGCGGCCGATTGACGCCCTTCGCAGTCGGCAAGATTCTCCAGGGCGTCAAGGACGCCGGATCGGCGCTCTTCTTTTACCGCTGGGTGGGATCGCAGGATTTGTTCCGGCACACCACATTCTCGATGAACTGCGCGCTCAATCTCCTCGTCAGGGCCGGGCAGCACGGACAGGCTGTCCAGCTCTTCCGCGAGGAGAGGTGTGTGCCCAACGAATTCACGTATGGATCTCTCATCCATGGGCTGTGCAAGGCCGGGAAGCTGGATCAAGCGTACGAGCTCCTGGACGAGATGAGAGACCGAGGAATTCCTCCCGGGGTGGCCGTCCACAATGGCGTGATCAAGGGCCTGTGCAAGGCCGGGAGGTTTGGCGACGCGCTGGGCTACTTCAAGACGGTGGCGGGCACCAAGTGCACGCCAGACATCATCACTTTCAACATCCTGGTGGACGCTCTCGTGAAGTCGGGGAGAGTGGAGGAGGCCTTCCAGATCTTCGAGAGCATGCACACGTCCAGCCAGTGCCTGCCAAACGTGGTGACTTACACCACCGTGATCAATGGGCTGTGCAAAGATGGGAAGCTGGACAGGGCGATCGAGCTGCTGGATCTCATGAACGAGACTGGCTGCTGCCCAAACGTGATCACTTACAGCGTCTTGGTTGAAGGGCTGTGCAAAGCTGGCCGGACAGACAAAGGTTTCACGCTCCTGCAAGAGATGACCAGGCGGGGATTCCAGCCGGACGTGATCATGTACAACACGCTGCTAAACGGGCTTTGCAAATCAAGGAGGCTCGATGAGGCGCTGGAGCTCGTCCAGCTGATGATCCGGAGTGGCTGCTACCCGACGGTGGTGACTTACAACAGCCTCATGGAGCTGTTTTGCCGGAGCAAGCAGGTTGACAGGGCTTTCAGGCTCATACAGGTGATGAGCGAGCGCGGGTGCCCGCCGGACGTGATCAACTACAACACGGTGATCGCGGGCCTGTGCCGGGATGCGAGGCTGGACGATGCCCAGGCGCTGCTCAAGCAGATGGTGGCGGCGAGGTGTGTGCCGGACGTGATCACTTACAGCACTATCATCGACGGGCTGTGCAAGGACTGGAGAGTGGACGCGGACTGGAAGCTGGAGGCGGCTTGCGAGATCCTGGAGATGATGAAGCAGACGGGGTGCCCGCCGAATGCTGGAACTTACGCCGTCGTCATCGAGGGGCTGTGCCGAGCCAGGAAGTCGCAGCAGGCGCTCGCGCTGCTGCGGCGGATGATCGACAGCGAGGTGGTCCCGGACTTGTCCTCGTTCAGCATGGTGATCGGCAGCCTGTGCAAGTCCCACGACCTGGATGCCGCGTACAAGATCTTCGGGATGATGAGCGAGCGGGAATGCAAGCCCAATCCGGTGGCTTACGCGGCGCTGATCGACGGCCTCTCGAAAGGTGGCGAGGTGGACAAGGCCGTGCGAGTTTTCGAGCTCATGGTGGAGAGCTTCCGGCCGGGTGTGGCGACTTACAACAGCGTCCTGGACGGGCTTTGTGGCGTTGGAAGGATTGAAGAGGCTGTGAGAATGGTGGAGGGGATGATCCACAAGGAATGCTTTCCAGACGGGGCGAGCTACGGGGCGCTCATCCGGGGCTTGTGTCGCGTCTCGTGCGTGGAGGAGGCGTACGAGCTCTTCCAGGCGGTGGAGGCTAAAGGATTTGCCATGGAGGTTGGAGTGTACAACGTTTTGGTGAACGAGCTGTGCAAGAAGAAGAGGCTGAGCGATGCTCACGGGGTCGCAAATAAGTTGATCGAAGCGGGATACAAGCAACAAGGATGAAAGAAAGAGCATACAATGCAAAGATAACATAGTCAATGAATGTCGAAATCCGTTGACTTTGATTGAATTTGAGTGGATTCTGCGACTCACATCAAGTATCACATTATGTTGAACGAATTATCTTTCATGGAATACATATATTCACTAGCTGCATTTTCAAATTGAGAGAGGGATACTCCATGGGATTTTTGTTCATCATCAATGCCAAATCGAGAGCTGTGCTCTCGTACTCATGACGCAACCAGTCCTGAACATTGCTACTTGTTGCTTCATTTATCAACCACAAATGCCAACCCTGAAGTTCCAGCACGTCTCTATGCCTTACTTGACTCAGAGTGCAATCATCGCCACATCCAAGTTATATACAACGTCACTGCAAATATAACAGCCTTTCTCTCTAGTTCTGCAGCTACAAAGCTTCATTCACAAGACCCTCCAGCCACGTCACGATGACGATTGCGAGATGGACGAGCGTACACTGTGGAGCAGCTTTTGGACGTTCACCTCGTTCTCGGCGTACTGTGACCTGCCGCAACGAGACACTCGCGTCGCCCAGGGCTTTCGCTTCTCCCTCTTGGCAGGGGCGGGAAAATCTGTTGCTAAAGTTGTGAGAGGAGATGAAGCGTTCGATCTCGGCCTTTACGCACTCACGTCCATGTTGTTTAGCTCCACTCCCAGTTTCACCACCCCTGTTCCTCCAGCAAAGAGCTTCATCGCCAGGTTTCCTCTCCCGTACTCGTTGCCCAGCAGGTTGGCCGTGCAGGTGACGATCAAGAGCGTGAGATGGAGAGACTGCCAGCTCTGGAGCATCGTCCACCACTGACGTCGTCAGGGAACTCCGGAATGATGAAACAGGTGTAAATAGGAAAATGCTACAACGTGAGTATTTCCTGGTTGTGCCTTGATCTCTCCCTTGATCTGCTGTTTGTTTCAACAGGGAACTTGTCCAGCTTGATCGCCATCCAGTAAGCAAAAGTTGTGAAGATTCAGCCCCTTGACAGTGCCACTAGCGAACACTATTGTGCTCAATCCAAGCTCTCAAGATGTCCTTGAAGATGTTGTGGAACGCCACCACAAGTCTGGAATACATCAAGCCACCGAGAACTTTTTGATCACTTTCTCCAGCTTTCCAACAGTTGGACGCCCTCGTAGAATCTGCGAGGTCCCCATCCTCTCCTGGAGATATCTCTCCACATTCCTTTTAATCCTCACTCACCAGTGCCTTGTGGGCCATCAATGCACCTCGTACCCGCGACTGCGCCAGATCTAGCTCCCTCACCTTGCCAGCATGTCTACTCTACATGGTGCAGACAATCTCCAGCACTTCGCCCATTCAGCTTCCTCTCGCAGCCCACTGTACTTATAGGATTCATGGTGCCGACGTCCATGAGATTAAGGATCTCTTAAGCATATTCATCATTAGGGTGTAGTTTTGTTTGATAGAGTTCTTGGTTTATTTGATTAACCCTATTATTCTGCAAGTAGTTTCAAAGAAGGCAAGAGCTACCTGCTGACTTAGCATCTCTCATCTCTAAAAGATTTCCTAGGATCAAACAATGAGTCACATATCCTTTATATTTATTAAGGAGTATATTCATTAATATTATAATAAGAATTAAACCTTAAACCTTTATTATCATTATTATGTACATTGGGCATTTTGGATTAATTTTCTAGATTAGTTTGGGATTAATTTGAGAACAGGACTTTGTAGCTAGAATATTCAATATAAATCCATCTTTTCTCTAATGCCTTAAGACTTTTAATTTTTCGTGTATACCTACATTGGATACACTCAAACAAATGTTTGAATGATAAAAATTCAATTGTCATTCTTGCAATCAATTATCACAATACACAATAAGATCAATGGCAATTATGAGAGATGTTATTTATTATTTTATTAGTAATTTAATTATTTCCCCTCCTCTCAATAACGAACTTCTAACAGTTTAAACACTTTCATATCCTAAAATCCTCATAATCAAATTTTGATACTCTACAGAAGTTATATCAAGAGTCGAAACAATTCAATATAGCATTGCACTCACAACTCAACTAAGATGGGCTTTTCAATTTAGAGCTAAAGATTAGTATGCAACTAAAGTTTAATGGCACATAGTCCAAGTTTTGTAGCTTCTTCAACTAAGTTGGATTTCAAATTGCTGTGCAATTTTATCTCTAATTTATTATGTAAACTTGATTAGATCTCTTTTTAGTGGAATGCCTCTTTTCTAATTCTTTGCCCTTTTTAAAATATTTTTTAGGATTTTAATCTCTTTGTTCAATGTTTCACTAGCATATTCAATAATATTAATCAAGATCACCATCAATAAATTACAGCAATTGTACCAAGGGTCTAAGTCTACATTTGTTTATGTATTGGAATTTTAGATGGTCACCATTAATACAATGCAACCTTCAAGGAATATTTCCACCTTGACCTTTATGACAATGTAAAAAATTTCATACTTTCTCATTCAGCCCCTTCCACCAAGAACACTAAAAACAATCTTACTTTTTGTATATCAAAGATATTAAGTCACTTCATTATCAAGTTCTTAGTCCCTCTTTGCCCCATCTATAGCTAGAACTGACATACTGCCATTTTGAGAAATGCCTTAAGCTTTATCTGCAAAAAATTAGAATCTCTTGAAGTTCCAATATATAAAACATTTTCATATTTCAAGTGGACTCTAAACACTTTGCAGCTGTGACATATGGATGCTTGCATTTTTTTCTTCTTGTTTTTCCAATAAAGCTAGAGTTACTTAGCAGAAGTTCTGACTGACCAGTGGCTAATGCTTGAAAGGAGATGATGGTCCAATATGATTTCTTCACAAGGTTGTAGATGCAAACGGCTTGGAGATTGAGGTGGCACATGCTTGTTGGAAGCTCCAACCAATTACGACGTTTGAGATGGAGAGCTACAGGCTTTTCCAGCATTGAGCATGTTACTGACTAGCAGATTGCCACCTTGTAGAGGCCAATCGGCTGAGTATGCTGGAAACTGTCCTGTCTCATAGTCTGCAAACTGATCCAAGGTTGCCCAGGCTACTTGCTTCCAGTGACGCCCACCTTCTTCTTCCAGCCCCAGCAACACAAAGGCCCCAGGTATTCCATCATTACAATGACCATCACCTTGTGTCCGTACCAGAAAGGATCCACTCTACAGTAAGAGTAGCGGCCTTAAGACCTTGTGGCAGTGGGAAGTCATTCCAAACTTTGGCACCTGGAATTGCAATTGCGGTCCAGGCTTTAGAGTGAGTATCATAAACTTGCAACCTGCTATCTCGAAAAATGAGGTCCCTAGTAAGATTAGCCGTCAATATGCCACTACTACTTGAAAAGTTCCAGACTTGGGAGCTCAAGTGCCAAGTATAAATGGTGAAACGTTCAGATTGTATGTGTGTCTAGAGCATATGGATGCTGAACTGCTCCTGGTTGCCTCTCATTTCCAACTTAACGTCACCCCAAGAGTAGAGCGGCCATTGGAAGCCCTCAGAAATGATGTCATTTTTGTGAAAGCCACATAGCATGCCCAAGGATGAGGCCATAGGAATGAAGCCCCATGGCAACAACCTGTTTGACACCACTCCTACCAGTTGTTCCTCTGGATACCAGGCGAGCACAGGTGGCCATGAGAGTCTGTCTTGGAACCTGCCTTCAGATCCTGTCCATGAGCAAAAGCACGCACTCCTTCCCCCTGGCTGAGATGTCTAGCTTTGGCAGATCGCTCAACACACTGATTTCCAATTCCTTGAAAACTCTATGATGTCACCTCACCTTGCTGCTCTTTCTCAGCATCAGCTTCGTTGCAGTGCCGTCCCCCCTCCTCTTGCGTAAACGGGAAACCCTACGTTCTTCACCTCTTACACGTGGAAAGGATTCCACGAATTAAGATTTGACTCTGCCTTTGATGGGTCAACAAGATTTGAAAGAAGAAAATATTTATTCATATAGTTTAACAATGTTCAGGATTTAGAAACACTGTGATGATTGTTATTATTGTGCTACGTCGTCCATGTTTTCGGCCATGTCTTCGTATAACAATATAGTATTTCCAAAATATCCAACTTAAGACTTCATAAATCACAGCCATGGCAACTTTGGAGCATTGGTAGGAACAACTTCAAATGCGATCAAGTAGTAATTTTTAGTTGCAGACCCAGCAGCCTTTGTGGTGATGGTGTATGACCTGCTGTTTTCTGGCTTGAACGAATTGTACTCATCATAGTAGACCCTCATATTGGTGCTGAACTTGTCATAATGGGTGCTCCAAGCACCTCCCTCTGTGTTGGAGTAGTACATCTTCACCCACGGGAAAGACACAATGGCAGATTGACGCTTGCTAAGGGTGAATTGAAGCTCCTGCAAAAGCAAGAAACCAATCTCAAGGCTATAAACTTTGTTTCCAAGTTGAGCATGCAAGTTCACGCACCTGAGGATTGGAATGGCTGCTGAGGTTCACCAACACTTCCCAAGAGTCATAGTCGTCACCATCAACCATGTAGTACGCCCTGAATTTCATATCCACGTTGTCCTCCTCGAACACGAAGCGCGCTACTTGGATCTCCTGCTCGGGCTTCGTGTAGATATGGATTGCCGGACGACCACTGACGAACACCTGGGGCATCGCATAGAAGTTCTTCTCTACACCGACCTTGGGGCGGAAGTTGAGCTGGTAGTGCGCCTTGGTATCCACAAGGTCGCAATCGTCGTAGTACTCGTGGGGCTTCGCGATCAGGCAAGCCGCGCCGTTGTGCCATTCGGTGTGGAAGTTCATCACGCCGGCAGAGATCTGGAAGAGGCTCATGGCGACGCTGGCCATGCTGGGGTACTTGAATTCCCCCCCTTCTTTCACTAGCTTGGAGAGAGCATCGAACATGACTTGGTTGAGCGCGGATTTGATCCGGTCATTGATGTCTCTCTGGAAGTCGGCCACCTCCGAGGCTGAGTAGCCGCAATCTTTGGCGCTTTGGATCATCTCGCGGAGCAGCGTTGAGTACAATGCGAGCGCGGATCCGTAAGAGAGGAGTGTGTGCTTCATGTAGCTGGGCTGGGAGAAGAGATTGAGCATCTGGAGGAGCTGGGCCTTGGAGTTCTCGAATCGCACCACGATCTTCTGGGTGCCGACCGAGTTATCG